ACTGGACCCATTAAGGCACAAGCACCGCACCTGCAGCCTTAATGCTCACACAGCACTGGCCCCTCCATGAACTTTTCAAAAATCTTTCTGTCTCTTAAACCTACACCTTAAAACATATGTTGTGGTAGCCACCAAAATGTTCAGCAGGCTTTCTAGAAAGAAACGGGGTCTGAAAAAGTGGCCCTGAAAACTAATCTTAGCAATCTTAGCAACTTTGAGAAGAGGTAGAGATTTGCAAAATATAATACACATTCCCACACACAGAATAGTGCCTCAAGCACCATGCTAAGTCCTTAACGGGTATTATCACCATTTAGTCCACAAAACAATCCCATGCGATACAGAGGCGATCAACATCTTTATGCTACAAAGCTACAGCAAGAATCAGGAACTCCCCCACATCACATAGCAAGCTGGCGGGGCAGGATCTGTGTTCTGCGGCACTCACGGTGCACCCGCCAGGCTGCCGCGTACACCCACTGGATAAACTTGGTCTGTGCACCTGCAGGTACTGACTTCATGATGTACCTTTATACTCTCCGTGGGAGTCTTTCTGCTTACATCCCTTCGGGCAGTCAGGAACAACCTCATCCTATAGTACTCATAGCAAATGAGATGCCACGGTGGAAACTGGATACCCACCTAAACGTACCCCTCTTCTGCGTGGGGCTGGTGGAGGGGGGGCGTGCCGAAGCTCTCTCTAATAAAACAAACTCCTTTGTCTGACAACTGCCTTCCTCATGTATCTTTTTTTTTTCCCTTAGAATTTAGAGTCCCTGTGTACCGAATTAAAGCGGCACATTCCAGTGACTATACAGGGAGCGTTCATCCCTGTTTAGCGCCCGGCTTTGAAACAGTGGCGTTTGGTCAGGCCTGTCCCGCAAGGCGGCAGCAGCGGCAGGACCGGCCCCTGGCGGCTCCCCGACGGCGGCGTCCCGCGTCCCCAGCGGACCCAACGTCCGGCCTGGGCAGCCGGGCCCGGACTCGGGAGTGGCGCGCTCTCCGCGCCCTTCCCTCCGAGGGGCCGGGTCGCCTTAGCCGCTCACGGCTGAGGGGAGCGCAGCAGGAGGCCGCTGGTGCTCGTCGCCTTCACGCTGAGGGGCGTGCGACCAACGCCGCAGGCCCCACCAGGCCTCCCGCCCTCCAGTCATGCCCAAACAAGGGCAGACTCCAGAGGCGCTGAGGAACCGGGGCAAAAAAAAAAAAAAAAAGAAAAATTAAAAAAAAAAAAATCAGCGGGCGTTTCGAACTGCCCGCCGGGGTGTGCTGAGGCGCCGCGGGAGGAGCGGGCTCCGCCCTCCGGGGGGCGCCGGGGCGGCGGGCGCGTGCGCGGTGCGGCCCCTGCCCGGCCGCCGCCGCCGCGGCGATGCCTATTTTAGTCAAAGCCGCTGAGGACGCAAGGACCCAGCCCCGGCCGCCGAGCCTCCGGACCCGCCCGCCGCCCGAGGATCGCGCGTCGGGCGCCCGTCGAGCCGCTGTGCCCGTCGAGCCGCGGCGCCCGTAGCCCCGGTGGCTCGTGCCCCGCCGCGGGCGCTTCAAACTTTGGCCATTTGAGCCCAGGCTCGGTGCCGGGAACAAGCCAGGTAAGGAGCTCGAGGCGCAGCTGCCTTGTGCTGCTCCTGCCCGCGCCCCGGGCTCCTCGCAGCCTCCCAGGGATAAATCGGGAAGCGAAAGTTGGATCTGGCTCCGCTGGAGCAACTTTGGCGGCCCCGCTCGCAGCGGCCTCGTCTCCGCGCTCTGCCCTTGCTCGCCGGCCGCGCCCTCGGTGGGCGCCCTGTCCTTGGAAGCCGCCCTTGCCCCGGCTCCCCGGGCTCCGCGGCTGCAGACCCTACGGTGTCGGACAGTGCCGGTGTCCTCGGGAGCTCGTCCTCACCGAGTGCCCCCGGCTCCCGCGCTGTACGCTGGGCAAGCTCTTTGATGAGCTCCGCTCTCCTGTCTGCCGGGCTTCGGGCCACCGCGACTCCCGGTCCCCAAAGTGCAGGCGTGTCCCGCACCGGGTGCGCACGGCGGGGCACCCCGTGTCGTCCGCCCCCGGGTCCGAGGTGGGGCTCAGCCCTGTACAGGTCAGATCCCTCAGTGCTCACTGCATGTGAGGGCTCCTGTCAAGGAGAGCCACTGACTGGGAGCAAGGTGAGCGGGACCTCTGGGGCTGGGGGAACGCGCAGAGGGCTGGGTACTTCTAGTCCTCGCCCCCCACTGGAGCCCTCCTTCCTGAGTCTCATGTTTGGCCAGACGAGCCCAGAAATGGCCTACTTCATAGCGTAAGTGCGAAAAGACTCACATAATGCCATTTACCGATGTGCAAGATTGCGGGATGAATTAAGTCTGCGAGCACGAGTTTTTACTCCTGGATGTGTTAGCTTCTTGTTTGTGACTTGGTGACTTGGTGTTTGGTGTTACTTTCACCATTTAGCTGTTTAGCTCAGCAACACCTAACAGGATTGCACTAGAACACGTAATTTAAGGAACCAGGCCTTGAGGATCTGCTGAGAAAATTTCTCTTGGTTTGGTAAAAATTCATCTGAAAGTTTACTGATTTACTGAAGTTTAACTTTCCTTAGATACAATCATTCTCTGCAGAAGGGTAATTCAGTGTGAACCACAGAAATCCTTTTGCTAATCAGTTAAAACTGGTTAAATTTGACCAATATGTATTGCCAATTATGTATATAATATATAATTACATATATTAAGGTGTATTGCCATAATATAATCGCATCTTTTTATTACTATTTTCTGCCACTTAGATTAGCAGATGGTTAATTTTTCCTATCTTCCCTCCCACCCCCTTGGACCAAAATGTGTTACTTTTAATGGCATCTTAAACAACTTCTGTAAACCTGGAAGTGAGCTGCAGCGTTTAGCAGACAGCGCAGGTGTCATCAGTGGGATAGGAGGTGAGATGCATCGAGCAGTCACTATGTAAACACGTACTAAGGCCGTGAAAACTTGGGCAGATTTTAAGACCCTGTAGTCCAGCTACTTCTGTTCCAAGACAAAATCAGGCCTGGGGAGAAGTGACTTTGCCAGGCTAATGTGGCTCCCTGGTGACTTGTGATAAAGAGCTAGACTCTGGCTCGGTGTGGCCAGGTCCTCCTGTGTTTGCCCTTGGGGTCTGGAAAGTGCTTTGCCAGCTGCTGTCAAGCTTGTATCCGTGTCCTATGACTGCCTTCTCTGCCTCAGGGGCGGCTTGGAAGTACACAGGTGAATAATGTGTGTGCCTGCCTCTTAAATAAGGAGAGCCCAAGTGCAGGCAGACCCCAAGAGCCGCAGAGGTTTTAGGGGATGCTATGGGTAGCTGACATTGATTTAAAGAGACCAAGGATGCTCATTAGCTTTCTGCATCTTGCAGAAATGGGAAGGGTGGGGGGAGAGGGTAATTTGGGTTTGACCTCAAATGGAGTTATTAAAATAATGGTTCCTCCCATCCCAGTAAGTTTGTGGATTCAAACATTTGAACAGCAGTTGAATGTTTATGCTTCTTTCCTTTTTGCAGCAAAACAATATATAAATCAACCATTACTGTTACACTTTGCGGTTCTTTTAGAATTCTGTAAAGAGGTCTTTAATTGACTTGGTCATTGCATTTGTATTTTGTTGAATTTGTGTATTTTTGTGATCTGAAGAGAAGGGAAATCCTTGCATATTTGATAACAGCCTTTCAAAATGTGTACCCTGCACCAATTATTCTATAATCTAAAACCATTCCCATGTTGAACACAATGAACAGTAAAGTAAGGTCAATTGCCTAAACTTACTTTGAAATAAGTTTAATTAAAATAAGCTTATTTTCTTATTGAAATAAGAAACGGTTTCTAAATTAAATTTCAAAACATTTTGAATCTTCATTTGTGACATTTCTTCTGAAACAGAATAACTGGCATACTCTGTAAATCTACAGTGTTTCCACCAAAGATCCAATTTATATAATCAAAAGTAGGAAGACCTTTTTTAGGGACTGGAACTTGACGACAGGCAGTATAGATAGAAAACAAGGCTTCTTGCTGCAGGTTTTACGTAAGCAAGTGTAAGAAGCAGTGATCTATGAAATGTGCTTGCTGTGGGTTCCTGCCACCCACGCAGGAGCTCTGGCTTGAGTTCAAGGCTCCTGGCATCAAGCTGGCCAATACTGGCCTTTGCAAGCGTTTGAGGAGTGAACCACAACATAGAAATTCTTTCTCCCTCTTTGTCATTCTGCCATTCCAGTAAATTAACAAATAAATAGCTTAACATTTTTAAATAGTAACTACTAGAGTATGAATTTCTTTGGAAGTATTCAAAACTTCACTTTTCCAGTAATTATTCTTATGCTCCAATCCAGCGGTTGCCAGTAGGAATATGATGGAAGACTATGCTAACTTGGCGATTGCTGTGCTTTTGATTGATAACCCATTGTTACTGACTGCCTTTTAGACGAATTAATTACCTCTTCCTGTCTACCACATCCAAGTCTGTAGAACTTCAATCACTTTATGGAAAATATTATTAGAAGATAAGTCTATTTTGGTGGAAAAATTTTCGAAATTTATGTATGTGTGAGATCTTCAAAAAATTCATAAAAACGCAGATTAGTAAAAATATATTTTGCATCCAAACAATTTTATTTTCATTTCATTTCTGTGCCTTCGTGCTCTTATATATACATATTTATGTCAGGGAACAATTGTACTATGCTAAGTGCTTTTTATATATCTAATATCATTTGATTATGTACTCTGGTTTCGCTTCAGATCATACAAATCTTTTGCCTTATATTTAATATCATTTGGTTGTAAGGTCGATGAAGTATTACCATTATTAAATAGATAAGGAAATGAGTACATTTAATATCTGCAGAGCTGGGATGTGACACCAAATATACTTAATTTCTATGTGCTAAAGAAGTCTATTTATGAGCACTTAATGTACAAGAATGATTTTGGTGTAAAACCAATAGAGGTAAGAAGACACAGTTGCCATTTTTATAACTGTTCTTTTGTTGATTTGTTTTTAAAAAGGACTTGTCAAGATGAACTATACAGAGTCCAGCCCATTGGCAGAATGGGCTACAGAAGGTTTTACATCTGAGTTTGAAAATATCATACCCGTGCCTTCCAATATCACCACTTGTGAAAACTGGAGAGAGATACATCATCTGGTTTTTCATGTAGCAAACATCTGTTTTGCAATTGGATTGGTTATTCCAACCACACTTCACCTTCATATGATACTTCTTAGGGGAATGATGACCATAGGTAAGATACCTTCTGGAACTGGCAGTGGATGGGCTTCGTGCCAGGCCTTCAGGCCTATCGCATATCAAAAAAACAAAACATGGCCTTGTCACTGTGTTGGCAGTCTACCTAGTGACTTAGATCCTGTTTCTTGTTTGCTTTTGTTAGGTGAAATGTTATGTGTTTTCATATGTGGTTCAGATTTCCCACATATCAAAAGATCTGGGTGCAAGAGTGAGGACTTTCAAAGCCAGACTTTGTGGTTTGAATCCTCATTCTTCTCCTTACCTAACTGTGTAACTTGGGCAAGGGATTTAAAGTTTCTACCTTTGTATTCCACACATGTCAGAGAAGGGGTAAATAATAGGATCTCGTAGTGCTGTTGTGATGATTAAATGTGTGTGTGTGAGAGAGAGAGGGGGAGAGAGAGAAAGAGAGAGAGAGAGATCTAATTTAGAACAGTATCTGGCACACAATAAGCACTAAATTGACCTAACTATTAATTTGAAAGGCCAGTACTGCTGTGGGCAGTAAGGAACATGGGGAAGCAAAATAATTCCCATGCACAGTAGTTCAAGCAAAACACTATTTTTGGCCCCAGTCACCTTAATGAAAAAAGTTAAATTGATTCACATCAAAATACTAAAATGACTGAGTCTGTTGTTACAGCCAGTAATTCTCGTGAGATTGCTCTGATTATTTCATTCTTGACCCATTTACTGGATACATTTTTGTACCCCTGTAGTGTGTTAGACAAAGACGGAAGAAAGCAGTCTCCATCCTTGACACCTGTAGGAGCTGAAAGCAAGCAGAATGGAACCAGGACCAACATGTGGCCATCCCAAGAAACAACTTAGCCACTAAGCAAAATGCCTGTCCCAATCATGAATTTCAGGACATTGCTTTAGAGGAGAAATATACCAAAACGATAGCCTAAGCTAACTCTCTATTCTATATATGCAAAAAGTGAGGCCTAAACATGTATAATGATCTACTAAATATTAAAATGGAGAAAACAATTGGCCACCCCAGGACTTAAAAATCCTGCTTCTTTTAGTCATTCAATTATGTCACCCTCTCCCTTTTAAGTTATAATATTTTAAATTACGTCTATAATTTTTATGAAACCTTATTTAAAAACACGTTTTTACATTTTGGACTTTATTCAGATGCTGCAAATCATTCTGGTGAAATAAAAACCTCACAAATGAGTGGTGGTGGTTCCAAGAGTTGGGTTCCTGCCTCCCTTGTAGGAAACCTGAGTGCCCAGTCCCCAGTCTCAGCCCTAGCAGTCAAAAACATCCTGAAGGAGTGAACCAGGGCATGGAAACTTTCTGTCCATCCTGTATGTGTGCCTGCTTGCCTCTTAAATAAACAATTCAAAATTTACATGGGAGGTTGGTTTTTTGTACGCATATTTTTTGAGATATTTGTACCTTAGTGATCATTTTGTTAAAATTAGAGTAAATGTTAACTCTTAGGCAATAAAATCGACACAAAGGCAACTAGAGATATTGTATGGAAGGTAAGAGAATTGGTAAAGGAAAACGGGAAGATTCTCATATCTGAATGAAAAGTCATCAAGCAAAAGTTTGGATAGCTAAAAGATTTTGGTCCAGTTTTGGCCCACCAACAGCCACGGAAATGCAAAATAAAATACAGAGTTCCTCACTGTCAAATGAAGCTTTCTAATTTTATAATATTGGCAACTTAATATTAGTATTCTCAAACAATAATACTGCAGATTTGGACAGACTTTTTAGAAAAGTTTTTCAGCATTATTAAAAGCTCCACAGTTAATTCCTTTGATTCCCTTTCAGTAGCCCAGGGCAAATGAACAAAATTTTTTACACACAAAGATGTTTATGCTACTTCTCAAAAATTATAACCAAAAACTCCAGAAAAAGGGAACTGGCTAAATATTTTATGGTTTGATCAATTACAATAATTACAAGCTATGCTTACACAGAGTTTTAATAAAATGAGAAAGCCATTACAATAAATTAAAAATCAGAGCTTATTTTAAAAAGATTTTTGGGGGCGGGTGGAGGAAGTCAGATTTACAGAGAAAAGGAGATACAGAAAGGTCTTACATCCTCCTGGACCATGCTTGACTGCTTTGTCAGGCCACAAGCAGGGCACTGGAAGGGAAGTGGAGCAGGTGGGACAAACCTGCACCCATATGGGATCCTGGTGTGTGCAAAGGCAAGGGCTTTAGCCACTAGGCTACCACACTGGGCGCAAAAACAGGGCATTTAATCATATGTACAATCATACCATATGCTAAAACTGACACAAAAACTGTAAGATGGCATTAAAATATCAATAGAGGTCTCCTTTCAGTGGTAAAATTAAGGGATTTTTTCCCCCTCTTTGAAAAATATTTTCTATGCAAATTTTCTGCTACAAAGCATGTATTATTTTAATACCCAGACAAAATCACACTTCAGTGTTATATTTGAGAAATTCCTCAGATGTGACTTAAATGCTGAGAATAAAATATTTACTGAACTACCTGCTGAAGCTATTCTAGATATCTAACATAATAACTCTGCTCTCCAACAGGGTGCACCCTTTATATCGTCTGGGCCACTCTCTTCCGATGTGCCTTGGATATCATGATCTGGAACTCAGTGTTTTTGGGTGTCAACATGTTACATCTTTCCTATCTTTTATATAAGAAAAGACCGGTAAATATCAAAAATGCGTAAAGAAGTAATTTCAAAGCTGAAAATTTCTTTTTTTTTTTTCAAAGCTGAAAATTTCTAACAACTGCTTCGTCCAGAATGAATGTCTAGCACCTTCAGTCCCTTTGACACTGTTATTGCCCTTTGTTCCTATCACCGTGATTGGCACAGAGTGGGGGTGCATACAAACTTTTGATGAGTGAATTTTTTTCAAAGAGGAGATGAATCAGCAGGGCTTCGTGAGGAAACTGGGCATGAAGTGAGAGTTGCAGGGTGAGCAGTTGTGAAGATGGGCCAGCAGATGGTCTTCTGTGACTGTGCTATGGTAGCTGGTAGGCCCACGAGCAGCAGCAAGTGTTTGTGAAGGAATGATTTTATATACACAGTACTAGAGCTCTGGAATGGGGGTATTGATGATAGGAAGAGTAAGGATTATAGTTCCTGAATAGCAGAGCCTACTGAGCTTCTGAAACACAAGGCTCCAGAGTGGCTGATGTGATCCTAGTAAAGTGGATAAAGCACTTTGGGTCTGTGCTTTTGTTTCTTCTTGGGCTGTAAAAACCTGCTCTTTGGGAAAATATAAATGAGGCTTCTCCATCAGAATGAAACAGCAAGATGAGCAGGAGCATGCTGGAGTGACGTCTGGGAGGAGCTGCTCTCATGATCCAGGGCCGCGAGAGCAGGGGCATCTGCTGAGGAGTTCACCGGGACAGGGTTTGTGGGCAGCACAGAACAGCTCTCTATCTGCCCAATTAGTGTGACTTCCAGAAGCAAAAGCTGGGCCTAGGGCCACTGGGGCGTGACCTGGGCTTTGGAGACTGTGACAACAGAGACCATTAAGCTAGTTAGCTTTCCTCTGTGTCCACCAGCCAGTCTTCTTTACCAGCAGCTTCTCTGTGGCATCAGGTTTATTTCAGCTTAGCATGAAACTGCTACGCCGAGACACTGTCATACCCTTTCCCGTTTCTTCACAGTGCTTGAGAATGCGTACATGCGAAGCAGTGATGGTAGCTGGAGATACTTGCTTTCTTACCCATTGGCGCATTAAAATTATATGTACAATATTATCAGTTCTGTTTTACATGAAGCCCTACTTTTATGTTTATTTTCTTGCCGCCATAACATATCAATGTCATTCCTTTCTGTGGAACAAAAGGTTTTGTGCTATTTATAGAAGGTGCTTTGATTGGGAAGGTGAAGTTATAACAACATTCTAAACCTCAGCAGTTGCTTTATAGCCCATAGAAGGAGATGTAATCAATAGTGCACATCTTCCCCTTATGCTCTCGAGAATTCAATTTAACTACAAAGGTGCCCTTTTAGCATCTACAGTATAAACTGACATTACCATTGACTCTCGCTGGAAAATTCCATTAACCTAACCACAGCAGAGTGATGGTTATGTGGCATGGATTCATTACTTATTCTCAAAACTGTATTTAACCACAGAAGCTAGTTTGTTGGGGCTGCTATATCAGGTCATCACTGTCTTTCAGGTGAAGATCAACAAGGAGCTCCATGGCATCTACCGGCGATTGTTTGAACCACTCCGGGTGCCTCCAGATTTGTTCAGAAGATTAACCGGACAGTTTTGCATGATTCAGACATTGAAAAAGGGCCAGACCTACGCTGCAGAGGATAAAACCTCGGTTGATGACCGTCTGAGTATTCTCCTGAAGGGAAAGTAAGTGCTCTGTGATAATAAGAAATTTCCTAGTTTGCCTTGAATTCTCTTGTGGCCTGCAGGATGGAACCCAGTGGGAGGAAATGTTTCCAACCCATGGAAGAAGCAGTCACAGAATGTATTATTAGCGAACTTTCACTTTACAGCTCTGGTTTGGAATGCAAGAGAGAAACAAGTTAGATAGAATTTACTGCTCTGAATCTTGTTGATATCAGAATTTTTCATTGTAAATTGTTTAGTTTGGATCTTTTATTTCAAGTTAATGAGAAAAAGTTGAAATAGGTTTAAGTCAGGCATTCATATTCAAGAAGCTTATGCATACTTCAGTAGCAATTAGTTTATTTTTTGAGTATCACAAAAACATAATTTCTAGGAGTATCAGACCCCTGGGGAGAGAGCCAGTAGATACTGTGCTAGCCAAACTATTAATAGTTTCACTTTCTCAAAAATCTCCCAGTTTGAGTAACAGATTGCATGGTCACTCCATTTGTATGAGGAATGACGCTCATCAGAAGGCACATGTTTGGTTCATTAAGGAATGCAAGGTTTTCTTGTTCTTAGGTTATTTTCTGAAAGTGCTTTTAATTATGCCCTTCATCTGTGGCATCTTTGAAGCTTTCAGTACTGTGGAAAGTACAATGCTGAATGCTGTAAGCTTATCAGTAAGGAAAAAGAAAGTGCAAGCCCATAAGATTACAATGATGTTGGGGAATGTGATATTATTTGTGCCATATGATGTAATTACTAACATTAATGATTTCTGTACAGAATGAAGGTCTCCTATCGAGGACATTTTCTGCATAACATTTACCCCTGTGCCTTTATAGATTCTCCAGAATTTAGATCAACTCAGATGCACAAAGGTGAAAAATTCCAGGTATGCTTTCACATGATTTTTAAGAAGATTGAAACTAGTTATATGGCTCATTCAAAATCCAAGTGATATTAATAGTAAATTGGCCATTGTTTACTGAATAAAAAAGAGCTTTACCATATGGTATGTATTATATGGTATGTATTCATGACCTCACTTTTCAAAAATCTTAAAATAGTGTGTAGTGCACAAAAAGAGGTCTGGAAAAATACGTATATCCTAATTTGGCCATAATATTAATTCTGTTATTTCTGATTGTGACCTTGACAGCTTTTTTACTTTCATTTTGCTTATTTAAATTTTGCCATAGGAAACATATGCATTTTTTTCTTGTGAGAAACAAGAAAAATGTCAGTTACAGATAATCAGTATTCCTAATACATGTAGCTGATTTTGTGCTAGAAGAGTTATTTTGCGAATCCTTTTATTGAGGAACAAAGGAGTCCCTTTACTCTTATATTAAAAGAATTTAAGGGAAAGGAATGAATTCTTCTAGCAGTACTCATTTAAACATGGAATGCTCAATGTGATTCTGTCTATATTTTAAAAAACAGTTGTTTGTTACTTGATTCTTTGTCCTGATTCTCGCCGGCCCAGCCCGTCCATTTTACTCATCTTGTGTGTTTGTAGGACAGTAACCGAGATGTGCAGATTTCCTTTAATCCTAGCCTCTGGATAAACAGCACATAAATATCCTGAGAGCGGGCCTACTTATAAGCAAGAGGGCAATCTGTTTAGGTAGGAAATGGGACCGAAGGAAGAGTTGGCACCGAGGGTGAGCAGCGTCAATGGGTTTTGGTGGCAGAATCTTATTTTAGAGTCTCATTCTGAGATCTAGTACAGTTTGGGAAGCCTCAGAGTGAAGATAAAAGTGAAATATTTATGGTCATACAATTCAGTTGATTCTGCTGACGCTGGTTACTGCCATGCCCTGCTCTCACTCTTGCCTGAGTAAAACTAGTTAAAGTTCTATGTATTGACTATGTGGTTTCATGTGGGGTCACTGGTAGTGGGACATGGCTCCCAAAATGGCTGGGTTGAAGGTACAGAAGGAGAAAGCTAAATTCCTGTTTCCTGCAGCCTACAGGCTGCACTCTGCCATCCTGAGGGTCAGCTGCACCCTTTAATTTAGGCTCTGAATTGTATTTTTGCATCACTGCCCTCTATGAACTGGTACAAGGCTACTTCTTTCTTCTCTCCTTTCCTTTGACCATCTTCTGTTTTCTTCTTCAAAGCCTCACATTTATCTGTTGCATTGGTTTTTCTGTGTATGATGGGAGGTCACTTTTAATATGCTAACTCAGTCTCATATTATCCTGAAAAGACTGGAATCGAAGGATAGGGAGAAAACCTCCTTTGCCTCCAGAACCATGTTGCCCCAGGTGGCAGAGTTTCTAATATGTACTGTGTTTTCCATTGGACTTCCAAGTATATTTATAGTGCGGTGATCCAAAAGGGAATTTCCACTGCTAGCTACAGCTCTCTTTTTTCTTGAGAACTGAAAATTGAACTTTGGTAGGTAAGAATTATTGCTGATGACTATTAGGGAAGATTTGGAAACCATGCCCAATCTGGGACTCCATAGCTGGATGAAAAAAACAACGCTCTCCAAGATAATCCAGCTTTCCTCTGTGTAGATACTGGGGTGGCATTTCAGGATTGGTCAGTGGATTAAAAATTGCCCTAGTATCAGCAAGCCTGTGTCCCATGCACTGGGGGCCAAATTCATTGGAGAAAACTCTTGGGAGAAATTGTGCTTTGATTGTTTACAAAATGTTCCTCTTGGCAAGACAGGCCAGAGTAAAAAATAGCTGTGTAAGAGTAATATATTTATTGCTTCTTCCAGAAGCAGGTTCCCAGATAAAAAATACCACATGTTTCCACAGCCAGCATTTTACTACCTGAGCCAGATGGCAGTGGTCAGACTTCTCCTGGCACAGGCTTTTTATCTGTGAATCTTGTGTTCCCCAACTCTGCCCTGTTGCAAGGCTTCCATAGGGAAGCACTTCTTGTGAAGTTTTACTTCTTCTTCTTCTTTTATAAGATTTATTTATCTTTATTGAAAAAGCAAAGAGAGACAGAGAGAAAGGTCCTCCATCCGCTGGTTTACTCCCCAAATGGTCAATACTGCCAGAGCTAAGATGATCTGGAGCCAGGAGCTTCTTTTGGGTGCAGGATCCTGAGACTTTGGGTCATCCTCCTCTCGTTTCCCAGGCCATAAGCAGGGAGCTGGATGGAAAGTGGGGCATCTGGGACACGAACTGGTATCAATATGAGATTTTAGTGCTTGCAAGGAGAGGATTAGCCAATTGAGCCATTACACCAGACCCATAAATTTTTACTTTTAAAATTCTTTCTGAGGCTGGGATGCTAATCAATTGTATAGTAAGATGAAAAGGAGGAAAAGAAAGATGAAAGAACTCAATGACTGTTTCTTGAGATTGCACAACTAAAGGTGTAGTTATGATAATGAGAATAGGCATATGGCTGGTGCTGAGAAATTTCTGAACTTACAGTGTATCCTCTGTAAGTGTGTACAATTGTTTGGGTACTTGGAAAACTGCATCCCTTAGTTAGCATTGGTAGAATCTTGAGCATTGTATTTACAAAACATAGGAGTAGAGTTTTGTGTTCTACTTCTTCTTTGTGCAGTATTATATCAAGGAAACTTTCCCCTTTGTACTTTTTATTATTATTATTTTGTCTCATGCTGTTACCCACTGTTAGCCCTATCCTGGTGCTGAAAAGCCTGAAGATCAAAGTGTTATTGACTTTAGGGGAAGGTTCTTATAGATATCACGTTCTTGTAGAATAAATGAACATTAAGTTTTAGCTGGTATTTAAACTTAACATTCTCAGGTGCCTCATTAGCACAGTAGGTAGCACGTCAGTCTCATAAAGTTAACATTCTCACTCCTTTCTCTCTTTCTCTCCTTTTCTTCCTCCTTCCTCCCTCCCTCAAATCTGCCTCACAAGTAAATAAAATAAATCTTTTTAAAAAGAAAAAATGAAAAGGATCACCCCTGATGCCAGCATCCCGTATGAGCACTGGTTGAGCCAACTTCCTGTTACTGTGCCTGGGAAAGCAGTGTGAGAGGGCTCAAGTGCTTGGGATCCTGCCGCTCGTGTGGGAGACCAGAGTGGAATTCCTGGATCCTGGTTTCAGCCTGGCCCAGCCCTGGATGTTAAGGCTGTTTGGGGAATGAAGCAGTGTAACTAAAATAAATCTTTAAAGTTATCATTATGCTAATATAAAGCAAGTATTATAATGAAGCTCTGAAAACATTTAATCAGTTTTGACTCTCTAATATTTTAGTGCTTACAAGAACTCGATACTACATATGTGTTAGTTGAACAGACCACTTTTAAGACATTTTCATCATCTTCTAAAGATATATTTATTTTTAATTGAAAGAGCTTTTACAAAGAGAGAAGAGGAGACGGGGAGATGTGTTCTATCTCCTGATTCACTCCCCTAATGGTCATACTGGCTGGAACTGGGCTGAGCACATGACAACATGAGCCATGATGAGTAGCCAGTTTTCACCCTCTGTTATTACTCTGTTATTACTTCTACCTTCTTATCCATATCCTCCTGCTTCTGGGAATTGTCCAAGCCTGGTTTGACCTTTTATTTCAATTGCTAAAAATCTTATATGTTGTTTCTTCTTCTTCTACTCCTGCTCTTCTTCCCTCCCTCCTATTGTTTCTCCCCCACTTCCTCCTCCTCCCCATGCTTCTCTTGCCCTCCCCTCTCTCCTCCTCTTCATCAATTAAAAATTATTTTTGGCTTTCTCCATTAGAATGTCAACTTTGTGACATTTGTCCTCTGTAGGAGGAGCTCTTGGTGGATTTTGTAGTCAATCTTATACTCACTTGGCTAAAGTATGTTCAATGTGATGGTTTTGAAGAATTTGGGAAGCATTGAGTAGCGTTTGGCCTGGTGGGAAAATATGTCTAGGCTGGAAGTCAAAAGGACTCCCTGCCATTCGTTAATATGTATTAGTCAATAAGTCTTATGGTATTTCCCACGTGACATCAGAAAAGTGGAGCGGAATCTAAGACACACTTTTGGAGATTAGTATTATTATATACTCGGTAAAGCTGTCACCTGCAACATCGGCATGCCGTATGGACACTGGTTCATGTTTGGCTGCTCTGCTTCAGCTCCAGCTCCTTGCTAATGGCCTGGGGAAGCAGCAGAAAATGACCCAAGGGACACTGGGATGATTTCACCTTGGACTAGCCCTGGACATTTTGGGCATCTGTAAAGTGAAGCAGTAGATGGAAAATCAGTCATTCTCTCTTTCCCACTTTCTGTATAACCCTGAATTTTAAACAAATAAATCTTTAAAATGTACTTTGGAGGATAAACTAACACAATTGAAGTAAAAGAACCTGTTAATTGTTAAAAAGCACAATCCACACAGAGTGGCATCCAGTGTGGTATTCACATCATAGTTACTCTCTACCACTTGATTCTCTTCTGTATTTTTCAGGATATTTCTATCTGAGATTGTCTTTTCTCTATTCTGTATCATCAACCGCTCTGCTACACTTCCCAGGACAAAGAGCTTGTCTGTCTTGTTCCTCATTGAAACCTCTGTGCTTTGAGTAGTTTTTGCCATAAAGTGCATACCCAATAATACATATTGGAAAAGTGAACCCAACTTCATGCTTTATGAAGTCTTAGAACTGTTGGCACATTTATTGCTTTTATGGATTTTTAGTTTTCATATCACAAATAAGTGCAAACTTTGGTTTTCTGGAGAATATTGATCTTTTGATATAGCCAGTGTGTCTGATTGGTTTTGATTTCAGCCTGTTGGTCCTGGGTTTTTCATTTTTTTCTCTAGTTGGACCTTTTGTCCTCTGAAATATGATAACTTTTGTGACTAACAAAGGGAAGAGAGCTCCTTTGAAAACATTTGCTGGGGTCTGGCGCAGTGACGTAGCAGCTAAAGTCCTCACCTTGAACACGCTGGGATCCCATGTGGGCAGCAGTTCTAATCCTGGCAGCTCCACTTTCCATCCAGCTCCCTGCTTGTGGCCTGGGAAAGCAGTGGAGTTGAATCATCAGATGAAAGATCTTCCTCTCTGTTTCTCTTCTCCCTGTATATATGACTTTGCAATAAAAAATAAATTTTTTAAAGAAAGAAAAGAAAAGAAAAGAAAAGAAAAGAAAAGAAAAGAAAAGAAAAGAAAACATTTGCTGAGGGCCCCAGATAGAACTTCATGTCAAGTTCAAAAATCTTTATTAATCTCCTGCTAGCATAAGCATCTAGTAGAAGGTTAAAAATACAAAAAACACATTTGTGTTCATGTGTTAGTTCCTTTGTTCAGTAGACAGTGAGCACCACTGTATGTTGGAAGCTGGACAAACAGGAAGAGCCATAGTCAGAGAGCTCAGGAGACGCAGATTGTCAACGGATGAGTCGGGATGTGGTAATGAGTGCTCCAGTGAGGTGGGGAGGAGAAAGAACTGTTGGAAGAGGCCTAGTAAGGGAGGAAGGGTTTCTGGGCCTTGAACCCTGAGGGCATGGCCCACCGTCTGGAGGAGGGATTTATTTGAGGAACACCTGAGTTGTGGTATAGTTAACAGTATCCTCTTGCTTTCCCACTTAACAATACATAAGCAAAGAGATCTGTGCCAGATCTGAACTAATTGGAGGGATCCTGTCTAATATGCTACCATGGAGCCAATGTTAAAAAATCCAAGTCAAGGAAAACAGGACAGAAGTATCTCAGCCACCAATTTCGTCAATAAGGGCCTGGGCCCTGGAGGTGCCCATCTCGAATGTGTACTATGGCACTGGTCAGCAGAGGTGTTTCTTCTGCAACAGACCTCACAGTTCTGAACTCAGTTCGTTGGCTTGAATCTGTGTTCTTAAGCTCCATAGTAATCAAGAGAATATCAAGATTGGGGAAGGTCTGACCCATAAGCCATGTAAGATCAGCAGAATCATTTAGTTTGGCCCTGCTAGGGAAACCACAGGTGGAATTTGAAATGACAACAGCATCTCATATGAGTGGTTTGGTTGGTGCCCCTGCTGCTCAGCTTGTGATCCAGCACCCTGTTAATGGCTGGGAGGGCAGCAGAAGATGGCTCAAGTTTTTGGACCAGTGCTCCCCATGTGGGTGACCCTGCTCTGTGAAGCTCCTGTTTCTAACTTCAGCCTCGCCCAACATTGGCCATTGTGTCCATCTAGGAAGTGAATCAGTGAATGGAAGATATCGCAATTGATTCCTCTCTCTAAATATAAATAAACAAATAATCTTAAAAAAAAAAGAAAGAAAACCAGTAACTCTATATAGGCTAGTTTTTAGGTTGATAATAATGTTATAAATATTGAAAAGGTCCTTGGCAGAGCAAAGGTTCCCCAACATTGGTGAAAGAGTCTTTAATAAGTCATGGTTCCACTTGCAACCTCAGTCTCATCTACTGTGCTGCAGCGGTATTCACATGGTGGCCATTCAGCAGGCCTCACAGAGTCGAATCCCACAAAACTTACAGAATTGGCTTTTGTTCACTCTGCAGACACCATGTTTTCAGGCGTAATTTTATGCATAATTATAGAAGCTGAGATACATTGGATTTAATTTTAAGAAATTTAATAAGTCATGACTATGATAATGCCCACTACGTTGTTCTACTCTCTCTACTCCAAATTACTATAGTCAGTTCATAGGAAGCTGGCATTGTTGTACAGCAGGTTAATCCACCACTTGATATGCTGGCAGCTCATACTGGAGTACTGATTCAAGTCGTGGCTACTCCATTTCCTACCCAGTTTCCTGCCAATACATCTGGGGAGTCAGCAGAACATTGCCCAAGTGCTTGGGTCCCTGATACTCCTGTCAGGGAGCAGGTCCGTGTTCCTGGGCCAGAGCCACCAAATGGAAGGTCTGTTAGTTTCTCTTACCTTCCCTCCCTCCTTTCTCTGTTGCCCCTCTCAAAAAGAGAAATAAATCTTCTTAAAAATTATCTTAAAAAAATTAATAGACATCAATGTAGTTTTTTCTTCGTATGTTTGTCTTCTATAGGTAACCATTGTTGCAGATGATAACTGCAGATTTTTATGCTGGTCAAGAGAAAGATTAACCTACTTTCTGGAATCGGAACCTTTCTTATATGAAATATTTAGGTATCTTATAGGCAAAGACATTACAAATAAACTCTACTCACTGAATGATCCCACCTTAAATGATAAAGTAAGTGTGTTTCTTTTGTCGATTTTGTTCAATAAATGTGCATAATGAGCTATACTGTATTTTACCTGAAGCAATGTTTCCATGAATATTCATTAACCAGTTAGTTATATGTCAAGTGTAGTTGGGGCCCTTAATGAAGATCCTTCAGGGAATTCTTTTGTGAATGAGGGTCAGGAAGTGTCTGAGTGTCAGCAGTCAGCACAGATGCTGGTGAGAGCTGTCTTCTTCCAGAGAGCCGTTCCGGTGACCTCAGGGAGGCAGGATGGGAAGAGGCGGGAGTGGGGCTGAGGGAGGCCAGGAAGACAGGTCAGTGGGGAGGATGCAGACAAAATGTGACTGACCCCAACTAGCAGAGAAGTCCCATTTTAACCCGGAGTTCTTCCAGCCTTGGGCCTCCTGTTCCTCAGACTTCCTGCCAGGCAGCACATAGGTGACAAAAAAAAGTGTGGGATTACAGCTCACACTTTCATCTTCATCCCCTCTCCACCCAGTTGTTCAGAAGGAAATTAAGATGATTGCAGAAAACAACTTGCAAAATATTTTTGCGGGTTTCTCCAGGAACAATGAGCCTGAGTGTGTGTCCTATCCAGGCCGTGCGTCCGATGAAGTTGATATTCATTATTTCACATTAACAAAGAGGTGTTTGAGTACATTCGTTTTGTAATATATTTGCAGTAGTAATAAAAATTTTGTTAAATATGGTGTGCACTTCACATGTGCCAGGTACTCCTTTTTAAATCCTAACTTGTTTCACGTACAAGCGCAGACTGCTAACGGGATTGTATGGTTCGGGTCCCTAGTTCTCAGAAATCTTAACACTTTGCATTGTAGAAGGCCAAGAAACTGGAGCAGCAGCTCAGCCTCTGCACTCAGATCTCCATGCTAGAGATGAGGAACAGCATCGCCAGCTCCAGCGACAGTGAAGACGGCTTGCATCAGTTTCTGCGGGGCTCCTCCAGCGGATCCTCACTTCGTAAGTGGCCTCTGAGTGAACACCAGCACAGGGTCTGCTGGGAGAATCCCTGAGAACAGGCAGATGACAGCTGTGACCCAGCAACAAAATACTTCATAATTTAAGAGTAGCAATAGAAGTAGTCTTTTTCAAGCTTTGTTGTCTGTGTTGCACATGAGTTTGTTTGCTTGTTTTTGCCAACTACTCAGCTTAAACACTGGTTCACTGGATTAGTGGAAAGGTTTCCACATCATCGGGAGGCTCTTTGACATTCTTGTTTTTATTTTAATATTTGCATAGTTTTTCTTTTTTAATTTTACTTTTTATTACTATCATTTTATGATACAGTTCCATAGGCCCTGGGATTTCCCTTATCCTATCACCAATTGCCTCCCCTCTCACTGGATTCCCCATATCATTACTGTAGCATAGTTCTTCACACACAGTCATATGTCCATTATTGCAGGCATGGACAATGGCAGAGAGTCCAGCATCCTGTCGTCAAGATACAGTAAACAGTTTCATTGGGAGTCCAACTTTATCTGGAAGTAGAGGTGCATGCTGCATTGTATCCTCATATCTGGATATGATAGTCTCCATTACACAGTTACTATACTTCCTCTTAAATGAAAAGTCACACAACAAAATCAACAGGAAGAAAAAAAAAGAAATTAACAACATCATGAAGTTAAATAACATGCTATTGAATGACTAATGTGTCGCTGAAGAAATGAAAAAGGAAATCAGGAACCTTCTTGAAGAAAATGATGCTTATGATTGATCTATGAGTCATTAAAGAATTTAATCAGAAGAAAAATTTTTGAAGAGATGAAACTAACAAAAAAAGCAAAATTCATGAGATACGGTTTGTTGGTGAAGCGTGTCTCCTGTAGGCAACAAATAGATGGGTTTTGTTGTATAATCGAGTCTACTAATCAATCTGTGATGTTTGATTGATGAGTTTAAGCCATTTGCATTCAGGATTAATACAAATAGGTGGTAATTTGGTTCTGTAGTTTTAGCAATGGGTTGTTCATTGATTTAGTCTTCTGTTGTTATTTTACTGGGATGTTCTTTGCATTTGCCTGTAGTTTTCTTTGGTGCTATTCCTTTTCTCTGTTAGAGAACATCTTTAAGTATCATTGTAGGGCAGGTTTGGAAGAGGCGAATTCTTTTAACTTTTCTTTACTGTGGAAGAATTTTATTTCATTTTCAAAGGAAAGTTTTGTTGGGTAGGTTATCCTGGGCTGACAACTTTTTGCTTTTAGAATCTGGAATATGTTACTCCATTCTCTTCTTGCCTGTAGTTTCATGTGAGAGGTCTACTGTAAATTCAATTGGTATTCCTTTATATGTCAATTGATTTTTTTTTTCATGTGCACATTTAGGGATCTTTTCCTCATGTTTGATTGAAGAGAGCTTGATTATCATGTGTCATGGTTAAGATCACTTTTGGTCAGCTCTGCTGAGAGTTCTGTGCCCTCCTGGATGTTGTTTCCCAATTCTTTCTCTAGATTAGGGAAAATTTTCCCTTATTATTTCATTAAATACATTTTTAAACCCAGTTTCTCTTTCTGTACCTTCTGAGACTCCTATAGTTCTTATATTTGCGCTGTTAATAGTGTCTTTCAATTCTTTTTTTAGCTTGACCCAACTCTGCGTCTAGCTTTTTGTTTGTTTCCCCCTGGTGACAGAAAGTATCTTCCAGTTCTGACATTCTTTCTTCTGCCTCCTTCATTCTATTTTGGAGACACTTTCTGTACTTTTAAATTGTACCACTGTATTCTTCATTTCAGGTATATCACTTTCATTTGATTCATTTCCAGTGTGACAAATTCCTTGAATTCCTTGAATGCCTGCGCTATGTACTTCTTATTGTTGATAGGACGTTTTATAACAAGTGTTTTGAATTGTGTATCCCATACCACCCTGAACGTGCCCAATCTCGTCTGAATTGTGTGTCCCCCATTTTCTCAATGCCTTCCTCAGTGAACTCTGAGTTTGGCAAAGGCTTTTGCTCCTTTGCAGGGGAGTCTTCAGTAATATTCATTATGCCTCTGTCTCTTTTTGCTCTTTGTTTTTGTACTTCTGGTTATCAGATTCTTTTTCTTGGGGCAGGTTTCTAAGCTCTGTCACCCACAGGTCTATTATTTGCTTTTACTTATTGCAGTTGGTACATAGCTCTTTGTTTGCAGTTACTTGTGCCACTCCCTCTAGCAGGTTCCAGATCTTGGTTCTTATGTTAGATTTCCACCACGATCTCAGTAGCCCCAGCTCCTGGCTCACCAGTGTCTACCTCCTGTGATACCATGCTGAGGCTGCAACAATGTCTGTGAAACCTTTCTCCCATTTCCAGTTAGAGCCGGTGCCAGGATTAGAGAGACACCAGGTGTCCTAATATAACTAGATTATCGGTGGTGCTGATCTTGCAGGAACCTGTTGGCTGATAGGTCTGAGGGCCACACGGACCTATTTTACCCGTAGAAAGCTATAGTTGGTATTATTTTCCTATGGGACCAGTGCAATGCACTCACCTCAGTCAGTTCGCTCCCAGCTCAGCACACGTGCAGCTCACTGTTGTCCCTACAGTCTTAAATTCTTTGCCACACTGTACAAAATGGTGCCTGATGTGCCACTACTAGAGTTTTTGATCTGCTGGCTGTCAGGTCTGAGGGCTACCTGGACCTATCTTGGGTGGAACCTGTAGGGTGCCATGTTGTTGCAGTTCACTGAGCTAGAAATGAGTTCTCTCCCAGCTCAGTGCATGTGCATTCCTGCCCTATAGCCCTTGCCTGCTTAAACAAAATAGCACCTAATTTGGCTCGAAGAGCAGTACTGGGCTGTGAAATCCACCCTGTTCCCGTACTGCCCTTCTGGGACCTGCTGCTCTGTCTCTGCTCCTGGTCAAGTAAAGCAGACCAGTTTGATGGGCAGTTCATTGGGTTCACCTCTGGAGCTCCCGGTAAATGTCCCTTCCTACCTTGTTGCTGGTGGAGTTTTGGCTGCAGGTGGAGTTCAAATTGCCATTCGCTGAATGCCACTGGGGTCAGTCACTGCATCACCACACCATTGTTTTCGCTGCTTTTCTGTGTCTGTCAGTTTCTAGGTACCTTTCTGTTGTTGTTCTGTTCTCTCCTGTTCCCTGGAATGTACCCTTTCTGCTTCATACTGGCTAATATTTCCCCATCTGTTTAAACCTGTCCTTACCCTGTTCCATCATCTTGATCTCCCTTTTGACATTCTTGTTTTCAGGTTTTTAGTTAGAAGAAAAGCCTTAACCCAGCAACATGTTGAAAGGATGGGAGAAAGAAAAGAAGGATGGAAATGAGGGAGGGAGTGAGGGAAGAAGGTAGGAGGGAAATAAAGGAAAACAACTACTGGTTGTTGCCTGTTAGCTGCCATCCCAGTGTGAGCACTAGAAGTTGAAAAGTGATGGGGTGGCAGGACTTTCCTAAAGAACAAAGGTGACAACTCAATACTGCTAGAAGTTCCCTCACTCACAGTCCCACCAACAGGCAGATTTTTTGAGATTCTGCAAGTTTTTTTTTTAGGTGTACTTATTTTTCTCATTTGACAGGTAGAGCTGAATCATAAACCAAGTGGGGACTCAAACACAGGTACCCTGCTGGGGGGTGAGAGCATCCCACATGGTACTTTGCCTACTGTGCCTTGCAGCAGCCCCCAGATTATTTCTATGCATAAAAATAGCACTGATGACACATGTTGAAGATTAGTAAGTACAATGAGAGAAATAAAATTATTTTAAGAATTCTTCTAAGAAAGAGAGCATATGTACTTAGAACAAATTCATGTGAAATCGTAAAAAGGCAGACAACTTATGTAAACTAAAAATTGTTCACATTTCCAAAGGTGTTTTAAACCAAATAGCTTTTCACAAATGTAAATGCACATTCAACAGTCCTAAGTGTTTATGTAAATGGTCCTGGAGCTTCGTATGCTTCACATAAATCAGATTAAGGACTTTTAAGAGTTGGGAGAGGCTTGAGCTTTCAAGACCACATGATTGATGCCAACTATGTAAAACTTTACTTCTTTTTCTCTCCTTCTTTTTCTTCTTTTTCTTGCCTGGTCTCAGAGCTAAATTGACATAAGAAATATTAATAGTTGGGCCCGGCATGATAGCGTAGTGGTTAAGGTCCTGGCCTTTAAAGTGCCGGGATCACATATGGGCACTGTTTATAATCCTGGCAGCTCCACTTCCCATCCAGCTCCCTGCTTGTGGCCTCAGAAAGCAGTTGAGGACAGCCCAAAGCCTTGGAACCTGCACCCATTGTGGGAGACCTGGAAAGAAGTTCCTGGCTCCTGGCTTCAGATTGGTGCAGCACCGGCCATTGCGGCCACTTGGGGAGTGAATCAGCAGATGGAAGACCTTCCTCTGTCTCTCCTTCTCTCTGTACATCTGCCTATCCAATACATATTTTTTAAAAACTTAAAAAAAAGAAATATCAATAGGAAAAAATTATACACATTGCATTCAAGTTTTACAAGTCCTCATAGGAAGTGAATACCGAAGGAAACAGAGTCAAGCTTTTATTACTAAACTGAACAAAGAAAATTTAGTTCTGAGAAAGCAACTGAATTTTGTGAAAATATTTCAAGAGTTTGATTTTTTGTAAAGAATTATTTATCTCTGTAGGAAAGGCAGATTTACAGAGAGCGATATCTTTCATCCACTGATTCATTCCCCAAATGTCCACAATGATCAGAGTTGAGCTGATCTGAAGCCAGGAACCAGGATCTTCTTCCAATGGATGCAGGGTCGTAAGCCTTGGGATGTCCTGCTCTGCTTTCCCAGGCCACAAGCAGGGAGCTGGATGGGAAGTGGAGCAGCCAGGGTAGTAACCGTTATAGGATGCCATTATAGATAGTAACCAGGGTGCCATTACAGGATGGCAGTGCCGCAGGCAGAAGATTAGTCCAAAGAAGTTATTTTGATAAGCTATATTCACAATTCTCTCCATCTCAGATTTCTGACCTTAATGATAAAAATGTTCCTGGCT